CCGGAGGATTATCACCTCATGTTCACGACAGCTGAGGCCCACAGCTGGCTGGGGAGTGACTGCCCCGGTTCCCATGGGCTGGCCGCGGGGCTTGGACTCCGGCAGCCTGGCTTCCGAGTCCCCATCCCAGCTCTAGGGCACTTCCTCTACACCCTGTAGGGCTCTGACATGACATCCCACAGGCATCCAGATCCGCTGAACGTTAAAAAATCTCCTTTCCACTAGTGCAGCCCCCCCCCCCAAATCACTCCCTTGCTGCAGTTTCTTCTCACTGAGCTGAGGGGGCGGGGCTGCCATCACAGGGTCTCAGACCGACTGCGGTTCTGGGAGCCACTGGCCTGGCAAGCTGAACGCCCAGTGAGGAGGAGAGAGATCCAATCCAAGGGTTAGGCCCTTCTTAGCACCCCCCAATGCTACCTCCTGGCCCTGGCGCTGGCAACAGGAACAGCTCCAGGCGGAGCAAGGGAGAGGCCCAGCCAGCCAGCAGGGGCACCTAAGTGTCACCCCCTCTCAGGGATCCTGCTCCACCTGTTGCCCCCGGGACAGCCCCACCAGGGAGACAAGCCCCAGGCACTCTGATCCTGTTTCCTGTATGGGTCCACTGGCAGGCCCTGCGGGGCCCTCTCTCCCTAGGGAGGCCAACCCTGGGCTCTAAGGCCATTTCTCAGTCTGGGGGCCAGCAGACAGTGTGGCAAAGTTCCCTCCCAAATGCTACTTCTGACTCACTTCCCTAAATCTCTGGCCCTCAAGACCCAGGTCCAGGGGCTGTCAGGGACTAGCAGGGCTGGGGAGAAGGCAGCCTATGATCAGAAAGGACCACAGATCCTCCCACAGGAGCCAGGAGCTCAGGGGCTCAAAGTGGCCCAGCCCCAGCTTTGCTGTCCCACAGCTGAGATGGAGGGAGGGGATTCTAGAGGCCCTCACCTCTAGGGAGGTGAGGGAGGGCTGGGTTCTTAAGGGGAAATGCTGGTGCTCAGTAGGCTGAGGGGTGCCCACCTCCCACCCACCTGCCTACCTCACAGCTTTGCAAGTCACTACCGTCATTTGAGAGTCAAAGTACATTGAAATCAGAGTCCATTACTCCTGTGCTCTGGTAATCGCCTACTCGGTTGGGCAAAGACCCAAGAAGAAGCCTGAGACTCTAATACCCTAATGGGCTATTTGGAAGGCTCTAATCATGGCCAAGGCCCTGAGCCTAAGGATCAGCCTCCCAGAACCAGCATTGTGAAACTGGACGTGAAGGGGGCCCCGGAGCCTGCGTGAGCTCAGCTGGAGCCCAGAGAGGGTGAGCGATTTGCCAAAAGTCACAGAGCTAGTGAGTGACAGGATGGAACTAGATGGACCAGAGCAGGAGACACAGGATGAGGGCTTTGCCTCTCCCTCGGGTGGGAGACAGCCAAGGGAACAGTGCAGGTGCCGGTGCCTGACCAGTGGCAGACTCATAGGTCTCTACCAAGAGCTGCTGCTGGGCAAACTCCATGTCTGAAGTAGAGAGAGAGCCAGGAAATCTCAGAGAAGGAACCTGTGAATCTTCCCTTGGCCACATCTTCCCTCGTCCTAGTCGGTCACAGAATTTCAGAGTGGGACACCAACTCCTTCCTTGGCTTGAATCTTCTCTCCAGCATCCCTACAAAGGGGTCACTCACCATATGCTTGCATACCCTCAGTGTTGGGGAGCTCACTCCTTTCTGGCACTCAGTGCCATTTTTGGGCCGTTCTCATGGTCAGGACCTTCAGATTTCTGAGTCCACATCAGCTTCCCCAGCACTTCCTGGGACATCAGATCAAGACTAATTCTGTAAACAGGTCGAGACCTCCTGAGGCACTTGTACTCTGCTTTACCACTTGAGCGCGCTCTTGTTTCCACTGCTCATCACAGAAGGTAATTCTCCAGTAGGAGGCAATGGGCCAGCAAAGAAAGGGACACTACCACCTCTATTCTAGAAGCATCTTTGCTTTGACCTCATTAGCCCTGGGCCCTTTGGTTACAGTTCATTCATTTGGAATTTATTTCCTCAAAAACTCCCAAGGCACACTCGGAGATGCTGGAGATCTACCCCAACGTGGCAGACGTGAGAGAGTGATAGAGAGGGATCGTTCACCCAGTGAATTGTGTGTGTGAGCGCCCAGGCATGTGTGCACAAGTCCAGGGGCTCATGGACCTCCTGGACTCTCCTGCCTTCTGACTTAGCTGGGGCTGAGGCCGATGGATTTAGCCACAAAATCCCGGCAAAGAGCTAAAATAGGAGCCCCTGGCCCCTCTCTTCTAGGCCTTCCCAGACCGAACTCCCGCTTCGAACCTCATTTCTCTTTTGCTCCCCTCATTTCCAGGAATATCAGGACCTGTCAGTCACCCACGGAAAGTTTTGTAGTTCTCAAAATTGTTTTCCCTTCCCTACTCATGTGACCTCCTCAGCAATCTTGGGAGGTGCTTAGGGGATGGGTTATTCTCCCATTTCACAGGTAGAGTAACTGAGGCTGTGTGGGTAAGCTAAAAAAGGCTTGGAAAACAAGCGGCCCGACAGGCCTGAACCATGCCAAGTCCCTCCACCCTCACCTCTTCACTTCCGGCTCAGGGACTGCCCTGAACCACTTCCCACAAGGTGGGTCACCCGCAGGCCCCTGAGATAAAAGATTCGGGGACAAGTCTACCTGAATAAGATAGAGTCCAAATGAGATGCAAACTAGCCCACCATGAATGGAGGCACTCAGCGCTCTGGGGCCTCAGGCCCTCCCTGCCTCCTCCCCACCCCACCTCCTGACTCCAACCACGCTGGGTTGGGTGCAGCCCGGCATGACTTTCAGGAGCCAGAAGGTCACGTGGAAGACGGAAGGTGTTTAGACTGGGAGGAGGAAGAGGAGTGATTTCCCTGTCCTTTGAGGTATCAAAGCAGAAACCACAACAACGGGTTCATCCCTTGGACCTAAAATAGATAAACGGACTCCCATGGACCCCGAGGTCCCCAGAGGAAGTACATACAGCTCATGAGCAGCAAGGAGTCTCTGGGACAAGGGACCTAGAAGGCCAAGAACACACAGTCAGACAATGGCCAAGTTGGAACCATATCTCAGGGGTCCTGCTTCCCAGTCCAGCACTCAGCCACTTACTGTTACGTGACCTTGATGAGTCCAATCCCTGCCTGGCTCTCAGCTTCCCAAGCTCTGCAGGAAGGGGCTGGGCTAGCTGCTTCAAGCCCACAAGTTCTGTGGAATCTCTTAGATTCTGCAATATCATGGAAAGGTAGAGCCAAAGGATCTCTAAGCGTGGAACAAGAAGGCGGTCAGGAGTTCCTCACCTGTACTTCCTCAAAGCCTGTCTCTGGGCAGTCCTAGGCTCTTGGGATTAGCTGTCCACCCAGGCATGGGGCGCCTTTGGCACTTGCGGCTTGGGCCTATTTGCCCCTTTGATTTGCATGTCCTCTGCCTGGCTATCTGAGACATTGTGACCTTGCTATGGCCATGCCAGCTAGGCTCCAGTGAGCTATGAAACAAGTAGACTCATGAGCCAGAGGCACAACCTCTGGACTTGGCCATCAGTCATCAGTTCAAGCTAGATGACGGATGTGGGTTTCTGTGCGAATGGGCAAGACGGTTGCACCATCTTTGATTAGTGACCCAGGGGGAAAAAGAGATCCTCAAAGATACTGTTTTAGAAGTACTCCATTTTATAGGTCCCAAGTTTCAAACAGCCTGAGAACACTATGTACACACACATGCATGCATACCCACACAGAACACACCCACAGGTTACACACACTGGGCCCACAAACATCGGGCATATAGGTACAGATACTTAAAATGAGAAAAAGATTTAGATATTGAAAAATCATAGGCCCTCGGGGAGCCTGGGTGGCTTAGTCGGTTAAGCCTCTGCCTTCAGCTCAGGTCATGATTCCAGGGTCCTGGGATCGAGCCCTGCATCAGTCTCCTTGCTCAGCGGGGAGCCTGCTTCTCTCTCTCCCTCTGCCTCTTCACCCCCCCCACCCTGCTTGCGTTCTTTCTCTCTGTCTCTCAAATAAATAAACAAAATCTTTTTTATTTATTTATTTGACAGAGAGAGAGAGACAGCGAGAGAGGGAACACAAGCAGGGGGAGTGGGAGAGGGAGAAGCAGGCTTCCCGCAGAGCAGGGAGCCCGACACGCGGCTTGATCCCAGGACCCAGGGATCACGACCTGAGCCGAAGGCAGACGCTTAACGACTGAACCACCCAGGCGCCCTAAATAAACAACGTCTTAAAAAAACAATCAGAGGCCCTGGATTTGAGGCCAGCCTACGCTGGGCATCCTTGCATGACCATGGACAAGCCCCTTGAATCTGAGACTGTTTTCTGAGCTCTGTTTTCTTCTAACTGGGTGACTTCGAGCAAGTCCCTTCCTCTCTCTGGGCCTCCCTTTCCCCATCCATGAAAGAAGAGGGTTGGGACACCCAGGTGGCTCAGTCGGTTAGGCATCTGCTTTCGGCTCAGGTCATCCTCCCAGGGTCCTGGAATCGAGCCCTGCATGGGCCTCCCTGCATAGCAGGGAGTCTGCTTCTCCTGCCCCTCACTCTCTTGCTCTCTCTCCCTCTCTCTCTCTCAAATAAATAAATAACATAAAAAAAAAAAAAAGGAGAGAGTTGGAGAGGGACTCCCTGCTTCCTAGCAGCTCTTAACACCAGAGGAAAGAAGGTGGCAGGATTGCTTTCCAAGAAGAGCAGAGCCAGCTTCCCGAACTACCTGCGTGCTTGAACGGGCAGGCACTCTGGATGCGGAAGAGAGGGAGGGGGCAGGTGTAAAAGTGGACAAGGGAGCCCTAGTCCATGTGGGAGCATCTTCCGATTCGTGCCTCATTTTCCCAAACTCTTTCTGCGTCGGGGAGGGCAGGACAGGTCCCGGAGGACCCCAGGATCCTGGCTCAGGGCGGCTATGGCCAGACCTCCTCCCGCCGTCGCATCGTCCCGCCCCCAGGGCCCTCGCAGGAGCTCGCCGGTGTGCGCCCTCGGTCCCGGGACACCTCCTTACCCAGAACTTGGAGCCGCACAGGGCGTCCATGGGGTCGAGGCGCCGCGGCCAGGAAGGCGAGTGCGGCGGCCTGCCCAGGTGGGACCCAGCTGCGCCCCAGCCGCCTCCGCCCCCTCGAGCCCCCACCCCCCCGCGCTCCGCCCCGCCCGCCCCGCCAGGCCCCGCCTTTGTCTCTTTGGGTGGATTCTCTTGTCCTGGCGAATTACGACAGAGCTGCCCCGAGGCTGCGGCTCCGGGAGGGACTTTGGGTTGGGGCGGGGGCGGAGTGGGGGCCATTGATACAGTGACAACTCCTTCGAGTGGCCAGTGGGCGGCGCCGGAGAGATGCCCCTCCAGACACCGAGGCTGGTGGGGCTGGAGCAGGGTCTGTGTCCAAGGGGCATAACTCGGCCGGGCCAATAAGTCATAGAGACGTGGAAAGTAACATAGCAAGACGTCCTCCGTGAGTATATCCCCGATGAGGTCCAGGTCATCTCTGGACCTCAGTCTTCTCATCCGTGAAATGGGAATGCTTACAGGCCCAGCCCATCAGGAAGTCTACCTCTGCCCCACCAGTTACCTGAGAAAGAGCAGAAATCAGCACAGGAGGAGCTGGTTGTGCGGTGTGCCTAAGTACAGGGGGTGGGAGGGGGGCCTAGCATCATACAGATGGTGGCTTCCCATAGTTCTCTTAAACTGCTGCCTTCCTGAGCATCTGTGGCTCCCTGATCTTGTGCCTGTTGCTGCAGCACCACTCCAGGCCTCTGCTTCTGCTTCTGAAAAACAGGGATAATCCGAGTTCCTAGGCTTACTACTCTGAGGAGTAACCGGCATCAGGCGTGTTGCCTGGCACACTTCGTAGGCGCCTCACACAGGTTAATTTCCCCCCCCCCCCCGGCCCCGTCGGGGTGAGGGATGGGCAGACAAGGCCCCAGAAAGAGCTCCACATTAGCACACTGCTAAGGCTGAGTCTTCACATTCTCCATCTGTAAAACGGATTTGGCGTCCGTGGGCTTCTCCTGCTTGCCCCAGCTTGGCCATGTTGTGTCCCTCCATCCTTCTATCTCTCACTCCCCCAACAGGATCACAGGCCCGATTCACCGCCCCTTCTTGGGGTTGAGAAGGAATCCCACCCCCACCCCCACCCCCCACCCCGCCCTGACCCCACCTCCCCCACCCCTGCCCCATCTCTCTCCTGCCCTCCACATCCCCAACCCTGTGGGCTTGGCTCTGTCTTCTGGGTCTGCCAGGTTCACCCCGGCGATCCCTTCCCTGGCACCTGTTCTCAGGAGGTGTTTTCTTCCTTGGCTGCTTAGCAGCAGGCGTGGGTGGGCCAGCAAGATAACACAGATGCAGCCAGCCATGGCCTGTCCCTCTGGGCTGGGAGGAAGTGACTAGAAGGAAGTCTATGTCACGAGCTATGGGAACAGAGATCTGTGCTGCACTGGACAGAACAGGGTGGACAAGGCTCCCCCTTCCCAGGCAGGGGGGGGGGTGGGGGTCCACTTCCCCTCCACTGGGCAAGCCCTCTCTGCCTTTTGTCTGCCCCCTCCCCTCTACTGATGTAGTCACCCTGCACCCCGGCCCCCATCTCTGAGCCCAAGACTTTCCAGAGCTTTCACATCTTGTCACAGAGTGCCTTGGGTTATATTTAGTTATGAAGAGTCTGTCTTCCCTGCCGGTCTGAGAGGTCCCCAAGGGCAGGGATCGACTAAGTCACCTCCAACCCCCCCTTCCCGCCTTGGGCAGTAACTTTGTATACCGCAAGGCCCTTGCGGTCTCTGGGACATGGTTTCTTGAACAACTTGGACAAAATGCCATCTAAGGTCTCTTCCAGCGCTGGTGATCCAGGCTTCTGTGGTGAACAACTGGGGCTCCTCCTCCAGCCCTTCCTCTAGTTCGGACGGAGCCAGGACCCTTGGGACTGAAGCACTCTCCCTTTGGCACCATCCCATCCTGCCATTGGAGAGCCCTTCCCGGGCTCACGGCATTGGGTGGGAGCCTCCGGGATCATGGGAGGGGACCTTAGCAAACCTCAGCCTCTCCCATCTCTCTTGAGGTATTCACGGGGGTTTTGCTGTTTTTGGTCCCTCTTGGAATGTGAACCTTTCCCGCACAGCCCTTGAATAATAACCATAAAACTCCTAGGACATGATTGTTTTTGCTCCACCAGAGCAAGAAAACTGAGGCCCTGAGTTGTCTTATCCTGGCAGGGGTGGGAGGAGCTCCCCGTCTTCTGAGTGCGGGACTGTTTCCATGCAGCTCCTTTGGGCAGGATGCATTTCCGGTGTCCAGAGCTGTTGCATTCATGTCCCCCGGCCCACCCTCCAGATTGCGCAGCATAATCCCCTCCCTACACCTCACCTCCCTTTCTGCACCTGGCAAACTCTACCCGTCCTTGAAGATTTCGCTCAAGCCCCACAGCCCCCCCAAAGCCCTCCATAAAACTCCCTTGCCCCCATCCTGGGCTAAGCACCCTTCCTCTGCACTGTCTCCCCGCCCCTATTGTACTCACTGATTGTCTTGCTCACCTCCCCCAGGAGACTGTGTACTCCTGCAGAAGAGGGACCGAGCACTCTTGTTTATTATCCTCAGCACCTGGGACAGTGCCTGGCAAAGTAGAGCCTCGGGAAATATTTGTTGACTGACTAAACGAGTATCTCATGTCCTTAGAAGAGGTTGTAAGTAGCGACGCTACTGTGCTCCCAGCCACAGTCCCGGCAGTAGGCACTGTCCACTCTGCTTTCACCTTTCCAGAACCAGGATGTTTCCAGCTGGAGGCTCCTGAGACCTGCTGGGCTGCCGCAGAGACAGGGGCTGCACCCGCCCCCCAGCTTTGGGGCCCCAGCCCCATCCTCCCCTCCAGCTGGGGATGGACAGCTCCAGGAGGGACAGACAGAGTGTGTGCTCTGCCTCCCCCACCGGTGAGCATCCCAGGGGAACTCAGCGGAGATTTTCTGGCAGGGAGATGGAAAGATAAGATAATTGCAAGGTACAGCTCTGAGCGGGAATGACAGCGGAGAGAAGAAAGGAGAGCAAGGCAGGGGCAGGGAGACCCAGGGACAGGAAATGCTTCGAATGGGGAGAGTCAGGTCGGAACCAGGGCAGGGAGGGGTGTGGAGTAGCAAAGGCTACTCTAGTTCTCCCCTTCACTCATTGCCGGAGTCTTTTGAGCCCCTTGTGGTTCCTTGAAGCCCTGGAGCACCCCCAAACCAGATCCAGCCCAAACTCCAGCCTCCCCCCTCTGTCCTCCCAAGTGGTGGGGCGGAACTTGTTTTGTCCAGATTCCAGACTGGTGAGGGCCGCACAGAGCCCCCTCGTGGCCTCCGAAACCTGCACTTGATCTGATTTGGCATGCATGTGACCCCTGGCTGCCTCGCCCCGTTCAGTTCTCAGAGCAAGAAGAATTAACTGGCTCCGTGCGCCGCAGGCAGCAGCTCCCACACCTGGACTGGGGCTCAGACAGAGTCCTGACGTTCTTAGCAGATTTCCCTCCTGGGTGTTTACCGGAGCTGCCACTCCTTGGCCTGCCTTGCTGTGTCCTCAGAGTAGGGAGCCAGCCCACAACTAAACTGCTCCTGGCAGTCACTGTCTTGGATTAGTCCTGGGTCCCCTGGCCTTAGGCAGGGATCACTGGGTACTGTGGGCTCTGCACTCCCATGCCTGGAATTCTCTGTGCACAAATGAGTCCTTCATTGGGCCTGTGAGCGTGTTTCCTCCTTTGGAGGGCTATGCAGAGCATCCATCTGTGGAAGGTGTCCATCAGTGTGGTGTCCTCTCCCTGGCTAGGTCCCTCTACAGAAGGGTCATCGTGGGTGGGGGGCACGGCGAGCAGGTGAAGGTGCTTTGTGCTGCCACCTGGTGTCTGACGTCCTCGCTGCACTATGGTGCCCAGCCCCCCAGGTCCGCCCGGTGAGCGGGCCCAAGCAAAGGGAGGAGAGGAGGCCCTGGGGCACCAGGTTGTGATGGGTGGGGACTAAGGGTGCCGATGGATGTGAAAGCTGTTTGGAAAGTGGGAGAGGCCTGGGTGGGGCACGGGGAGAGGACAGGAAGGACAAGCGGGTGGGAGGAGGGGGACGGTGCTCTGTGGTTCAAGGGCAGCATTATGCCAGGGAAAGGTGATGCCTGGGAAACTGGGTGATCACAGAGCCAGCCTTGGCCAGCTCTTGGATGCGCATCTGGAGCTGAGGGACGCCTTGTGATTAAACATCTCTCTCTCCTCCACACAAGGTGAAGGACTGTGGGTTCCTTCAAGCTTCTGAGTATGCCCAGCGGGGAGCCCATTTCTATGAACACAAATGTGACTGCCTTGGAAAAGGCCTCCCCAGTAAGTCATTTCATGAGCAGGATTCCTTGCACCATGCCCCATTTTCTCCACAAGGAGAAGAGGCTGGGTTGTATGAAGCCAGTGGGCTAGAGGTTGGCCAGACCGAGAATGAAATCCCAACTCTGCCATTTCCTGCCTGTGTGGTCTTGGGCAGGTCACTAAACCTCTCTGAACCCACTGCCTTGTGAAAAAATGAAAGCCATGCTATCCTCCTTGTTAGGGTGCTGTGAAGAGTAAGTGAGATTGCAGAAGAGCCTCAGATTTGTTTTTAGCACCAGCTCAGCTCTCTCTTCTTCCTAGTCCCCACCCCCCACCCCCAGGCAGACCTTTTCCTGGAGTCTTGGGGGGGAGGAAGCAGAAGCAAACAAGCCCGAGGTGGGGGACCGTCGCTGTTGACACAATTTCCTTTGAAGCCCCCCGAGGAGAAGGCTGAGAGCAGAAGTGCCAGGGTAGATGTTCTTATCTCTAAAGGCCCCCACTCCCCTGAAGCTCTTGGCCAGTTCCAACCCTGCCCCCCTCCCCAGGGGGCCTTAATCCAAGGCCTACTTTGCAGCCACCAGCCCCTCCCCATTCCAGCCTCCTTCAGGCTCCTCCACTTCCCTATGTACCTTAGAGCAGACAACAGCCATCCAGAGAAACATCATGAGGTTTGCAGCATCTTATCATTACTGTTTATAAGAATCAGCAGTGTTGGGGCGTCTGGGTGGACCAGTTGGTTAAGCGTCTGCCTTCTTTGGCTCAGGTCATGGTCCCAGGGTCCTGGGATTGAGCCCTGCATGGGGCTCCCTGCTTGGCGGGAAGCCTGCTTCTCCCTCTCCCACTCCCCCTGCTTGTGTTCCCTCTCTCACTGTGTCTCTTTCTGTCAAATAAATAAAATAAAATCTTTTTAAAAAAATTTTTGAAAAAGAATCAACAGTGTTATTATTTCCACTTTTTTTATTTTTTAAGATTTATTTATTTGGGAGGGGAGAGAGAGAGAGAGAGACTTTGTGTGAGTGGAGGGGAGGGGCAGAGGGAGAGGGAGAATCTCCAGCAGACTCCCTGCTGAGCACAGAGCCGACCTGGTGCTTGATCCCATGACCCTGAGATCATGACCTGAGCAGAAACCAAGAGTCAGATGCTTAACCAACTGAGCCACCCAGGCACCCCTATTTCCACCTTTAATGAGATACAACAGTTTCCATCACCGATAAAGATTTTACATTGTTGGGGGATAATTGTTGGGGGAAGATAGTTAGGGGAGAGGCCACAATTCTGTTCACTAAAATATCTACTTTGACTCTAGGGGTTCCTGGGGGCAGGGGTAGGGGGGAGCCTGGATTTGAGGAGAAGGGGTTATAGCCAAGCTTTCTGGCTTCATCTTCACCCAGAATTGTCCAACCATTAGAAGAAAAAAGACCCCAGAGCCCCCTCCCCAACTGTCACACCCTCATTAGGGAATAGACAGCTATAGAATTCTACAAAAATATAAAAGCTTAATCTGCAGACCCAGGTGGACAAAACTCTTGGAATTTTGTTCAGTTTTGCTTTTTTTTTTTTTTTAAGGCAGCTCCTACAAGCACACCCAAGAAGGTCCAAGGAAAGAGTTCCACACTATTGCACACCCCAAGAGGATAAAGCCAGGTGTTTTCTTCAAGAAGAAGTATATTTCTGTCCAAAAGAGCAATTAGAAAAACTTTCACCAGCTTAGAAAACGGGATGGAACCAAGCCTCCGGGTCCATCTGCCCTGCAGCCTGGCACCCCCCCATCCCAGGCTCATCGCAAGTTCAGAGAGAGGCTGATGAGGGGCTGGCCAGCCCACTGGAGCTGCCTTTGAGGTTTCAAGCGTCCTGGGGTTTGAAGGTGCTGGAGATGAGAGGGTAGGGATGTTCGAAGGAGTGGGGTTGGGGTGGATGTTCGGGGTGGCTGGCAGGAGAGAGGCTGACTGAGCCTGTGGTTGGTGCCTGTGGCACTGCCTCTTGGCACCGGGGTTTCAGACAAGAGAGTGTTGCCAAGGTAGCACCAGAAAGGAGGTTCTGGGCCACCCCAACGGCCCCTCCTCTTCTCCCACGCCTCCCCCTCCCCCTCCCCCTCCCCCTCC